GGAGCCTGCATTCTTCTAAAGACCCCAAGAGTGTTCAGGGACCGAGTACACCAAGACTTTCTGCTTGTCACATATATCAAGTACCCACATGAAAGGAACACAGTCCGGGAGAAAGATCCGTGTATGTAGCCATCTTGCAGTTCTCCAGTTACTGGACTGCAGTGGGGTCTGCGTTGAATTTGTGTGAACTTGAGCAGTAAATCGTTGTAAACCTGCCCGTCAGTAGACAACTGCAGCTCAGCGCTGTTTCACTGACCTCCTTTCTAGCTTCTTGTTCTTTTCACATGCCAGTTCTGGAGAGATTAAGGACGTGTTTCTGTGGGCTAGGCTTGGTGTCTGAGCTGTGTAATAGGGCTAAATTGAAAAGATAATAACAATTGGCCGAGCAACCCAGAATTCGGAGGCTGTATAATGTGATTGATGTTCAGGATTCTGACGAGGATAAATGAGGAAATTTGGATGTATCTTCTGATGTTGGCAGTGTGGACTTTTCCTATATTTTGCCATCAGTCGGCATAAAATTATGCTAGAATATGGTAGCTAAGATGTCAGAACAAACAGCTGTGAAATGGAACCTTCAGTTGTGTATGAAAAGAAAAACGTCATCACATTCTGCAGACCACAAAATGGGAAAGGATTGCTGTGAGAATTATCTTAAAAATATCAACCATAACATTAATTTCAGGAAATGTTTCTACTCGGTGACACTCTACATAGAAAATGCAGAACAGAAAGCAGCTCTGCGCTTGACCCTCTCCAGCTCTCATTTAATCATTGATGTGAAAATACAGAAATACATATTTTATTAATTTTCTTCCAGTTGGATATAGTGTCTCTGTTTCGATGGCAGTTGGGCTGTTTTCTGCCTGGAAAATTATTTAATATTTCTACCTTCTGTCAGGAAGAAAGTGGGGTGCTTCTTCAAATTTTAAATTCCTTTGACAGCCCTCCACAGATACATAGGTCTGATTTTCCTTGAAAAGTTAGTGATTACGTTGATGAGACATTGGTTTGGTGCTGACTTTGGTGAGACACACGCTGCCTACTGAGTCACCATCACTGCTTTGTGGGATGGCTGGATTTGGTTTGGGTGGGGGATTTCCAAGTACTGACCTAGCCCAGGCTTCATTGAGTTCCAAGGCTTGATAGGATCACAGCCCAGAGCAGTGAACCCGCAGGGCAGATTTGTATCCTTTCTCCTTAATAATGTGCTTGGGTGGGGTGGCGGGAGAACAAGCCTTTCTTGCAATGAGTAATTGGATGGTTTACAATCAATACCTTAATTTATGTAATACCTGTAATCATATTTTAAAGTGTATGTAAATTTGCTAGTGGTTTAGTGGAGAGATCACGTCTGTTTTGAACACAAGATCAAAGAGAATTTTTAAAACCCAATCTGACAACACCAAGCATAAACAAATTATGTAATTTCCCCCCCTCCCTGTATATATGTGGAAGGAGAGTGAAGGGAGGATTGAAGAACAGGCACATTAATATGCACATTCCTAGCATTTTTGATAGACTTGTATAAGGGAAAATAGTGAGGATGGGGGGAAGCTGGGAAGGCCAGGGTGACAGGAGCTTGAGATGAAACAGATTATTAAAGCAGCTGGGAATGTGGTGTACGCTAACTTTATGAACGCAAAGCTGTTCTGTGCATGACAAGGAGGAAACGTTTCTGATTTGTCTGCAGAATAATTTCTAGGCAGCTGCAAAGTCTGCAATTCTGCAGGGACTCTCGCCGTCTTAAGGATGTTTCGCTGGAAGTTGTGGCTTTCATGGTGGTGTGCATAGCATATCATAGTTTCTGTAGGACCTAGTTTAACTTTGGGTCAGCCTAGATAGTGGCTAAACTCATCTGAAGTATTGTGATTCAGTAATTTACATTATTGAAGCTTCCTTGCCTTTTAATTGCAGTCTTTAGAAGGGTTTTTAGTCTATTTTATGCTTATATTTGTTGTTCATTATTGAACAATTTCCCCTAGGTATCGAACGGCCCTATTTTTTTCATTTTCTCTTACTTTTATTTTCATGCTTTTTATGTAAGACTCTTAGCTAAAGACTGTAGCTTTGAAAGATCCTTACTTTTGTAACTTACTTTCATGTACAATAGAGATAAGCCAGCAAACAACGAAATATTTTGAAGTCTTTGTAAGCCTTCTTCACCAATGATTTTAGCTCACTGTTCAGTGTGTATCTCTCATCTACATGAATGCTTTCTATGTGTCCCAGACTGTCCTTGTCTCGCAACAGGAGTTGTTGAGAGATGCATGTGGGGAGTATTTGATAATGAAGGGGCAGAGGAACAGTTATGAGTAAAAGAGATTAAGATGAATTTTAGACAAAGAAGGGGGAAAAACTTAGACAATAGGTTATTTGTTTTTAAGGCACGTGATACTTAGGATTTGCATAATTTGCTAAAAATAGATTCTTTGTCCTTTTTAGTGGATTTTTTTTCTTTTTTAATTTTTGTGTTTAAGCATGAAAAGTTTTGTTTTCATATTAAGAAAGATCTTGTTTCCATTCTTCACTAGTACAAACATGTTTCAGAATCTCAACTTTTTTTTTTTTCCTGAAAGACATTCTTTTTTTCGTTGGTGTTAGTTGTAAATAATAATTTTATAACATGTACAGACCTTACAAATAGTGTTGTGAAATCATATTAATAGGACTTCCATTATTTTGTAGTTCTATGGAGTTTTACATTCCAGAATATGCATTGGAATTGGAGTGTATTAATATCTGACTATTTTCCTTACACTGCAGAACAGATTCAGCTCGTGTTCCCTAGAATGTATTAGAAATAAAAAGAAAAAAACCCCACAAACCAAGGAGAAGCTATAGTTAATAGCTGATTGATTTGTGAAGTTGTGTGCAGTGTGTACACAAATAACCTTTATCATCAGATTAGAATATTTGACAAGAGTATACCAAAACAGTGATACTGAAAGTATCGTCATGGTTCAGATGAAGAAACATCTGCCTCGGAGATTATGGTAAATACGGTTAATAAGGCATAGCTTGTAAAAGGGGGGAGAAAACCCCACAGTTAATACACTATTTAACAAGTTGTAGTAATGCTTCTTGTGTTGGCAAACACAGAGAGGGGTACACTAACTCAAGCAATTCTGTAAACTGGCTTCTTCTGATAAGAAGTCTGCAGTTTAGCATTATGGCACGCTCAGAAAAAATGCCGAGAGTAAGCTAAGATTATGCTTGGAATGATTTCTTTCTTGAAACAATTTCATGTAATGTGGATAAGGATTCAAAGATTAAAGTGCTGATTACCCAGTACTGTGTCTTACAAAAAAATGGCAGATGTTTTAACCTGAAAGCAATGCATTTTCTCTTTATTGGCCATGGTTTTGCACCTTGTCATCTCATCCAATAAATGGCAGAAATGAGTTAGTGTTTTGCAGGGCAATATAAGCTAAAGTTTTTATTTTGTACGATGCTACTATATTAGACTGTTGGTAAATTTTGGTATGGAGGACAAGGATTGAACCAGCAAATATCCTGTTTAGACCAGACTGAGAGAATTGTGCTGGTCCCCTACTCCAGTATTATGGCATCTGCTTCTTTATACATAACTGGATTTTCCAAAAGTGCAATAAATCTGGAAAAAAGGAGGAGGAGGGGCCCATGGGGGGAACAGGGCACAGTTCTAGCTTTCTGACTTTTTGTGCTTCTAAGAGATAAAACAGGAAGGGAAGTATATTCTTGCTCTTCTCATAAATGTGTTTTTCCTCTTTTTCATAAAGATGACAGACACAGTTTATTATACTTTTCAGTTGTATTTGACATCCATACTGCCAAGCGTAATAATTCTGAGTCAGCATAAGTTCCTGCTAAACTACACATCTCCTATGTTCAAGAGGAGTATGCAGGGAAAGGGAAGCATACAAGAAAAAAAAATTCTTAAAAGAAAAACAACATATTTATTCAGCAGTTCTCTCCTGTGAAGTGGAGACTGATCTCAAGTCTTCTGCCTCTCCAAGTCGTGTGCACAGCTTGCCTGGTGAAGATTTTTGCCTCTACGTGTGTATTCAGGTTCTTCACAGCTAATAAAAGCAGAAGTAGTACTGAATCAGTAGAATCCCAGACATTTCATAAAGGTTACAGGGAGGGGAAGTGAGAGCTATTGTTAGTCTTCAGATGAAAATACTTCCCAGATCAAGAAGAGGCCATCAATATGTGCTTGTTAGCTTAGAGAATGGTCCCCAAACCGTTGTATGCTGTTAGATACACACACACCGAAAAGACGTAGAAGTGAATGACACATCTGTGTATGGTATCTTCCAAATTATACAGGTAGCAGTTTCACTTCACATTCAGTTACCACTTTTTGCCTATCCTCGAATGTGTCTTCTCGTTTTCCCTGTCATCATTTGAAGAGGAGAAATGTGTAGATTGAGTCATAGAAGAAGTCCATCTGCGAATAAACTAAAGAACATAAAAAATGTAGAGAATACCACAAAACATGAACTGGATTCTCATGTGAACTTCTTATTTTCATGTCAATTTATTCTTACGTGTGCTGAACAACCTGCATATTTCAGTGACTCTTAAAAGGGGGCAGTTTGCCTGACTTCCTTTTGGAACTGTAGTTTGCTCTGGATTCACCGAAAAGTAAAACTAACATATGATTTTCAAGAATTGTAACATATATTGCTTTCCCAGAGATACTGAGAAGTGTATGAAGTGTTTTAAAAAAAGGTCTGAATAAATAAAACAGGGTAGTAAACATAATAACATAAGGAGTGCTGAAAGTAAATTTTTCTGATGTTTTCTGACAAGTTTATATGTTTGAAACTATTTTATCTGCAACCTAGCAATGAATAGGTTCTGTCTTCAAAGAGCTTGCAATGTGATATTTTATTCAGGGTTATAATAATTTTATTTGGAATTATGTAATAAAATTGACTGTATCCCTCAAAAGAATTGCCTATTGAAATATACTGAAACGTTTCTATTCTGTTTCTTTGGTCTGTTTCATGTAGGAAAGAAGGGAAAGGGAACGAAAGCTGAGCAAAGAAATGGCAGAAAAAGCCACAAAGGAACTAGAAAAAATGCAGTTACAAGAAAAGGCTAAAATGAAGTATAAAGAATGGTTAAAGAAGAAGAGAGCTGAAGAGGCAGAAAAGAAGAAGAAAGAGAAGGTATTAATCAGCTGATCATTTATTTGGATGGGGTTACCTAATCTGTAACTTACATTAAATGTATTGGTTGATTGAATTGATTAGAATTTATCAAATAGGAGTGTTGTACTGAAAAAAACTTCCAAAAGTTGTGATGCTGGTGCATTGAAGACACTGAGGTATAGTCAGCAAAGCAAGATGGATATTAGGGTGACCCAGACAGAAAACAGGTGGCATTCTGGGCACTTTTCTCCCAGCACCACTGTTATAATTATACTTTCATGTATTTCTAATTAAAAGCATTTTTCTTCATATCTGTCTGTACCAATCTGATCCTAGCAGTTCTAATTTTAATGTTATTTCGTACTAATTAATCACCTACGTATTTTTATAGTGAGCTTCAGAAGACCTCATACTTGTTGTTAGCTTCCTAAAGTGCGGGCTTTGAGGTCTGTTCACTAGAACAAATGCTGTAACAAGGCTACGCTTGCAGGAATCATCCAGAATTCCTCTGAAGTATCACATATTGGTAATGATTATGCCTGGAAACTGTGAAATGTGTGACCAGATGTCTTATCTGTGCAGTTGATTGGTTGTATTTTAATTAACATTACAGTATAATTTTTCAGTAGAATATGTAATATTGTAGGAGTACTACACTACTGTTGTAACTAAGTGTGGGGGACGATTGTGGTGAGAAGAATTTATCTGTATTCCCCCTGTAATTACAGCACTTGTTCTTAAAGTGCAGAACACATTTGTAGGTATTTCACACGTACATATAATAATTTATTTGGATTAGCTTTAAAGTACCGTAAGCTGAACCATATCAATTTTCAGGCCTGAATTACACTAATTTTACAGTCTTTCAAAATTTTCCATCTAATGAAAACACGTATAAATATTCTGTACTGGTGGTGTTTATTTCCTGCTTAGCAAACTGATTCTATGTCTCTGCTGAGTCTCTAAAATGCACGGCACAAGGACCTTGAAACCCAGGAAAATGAAAGTCATCAGCCAGATTTAAACCGCGTGCATTTTTTTAGTCACATCTTCTTTACGTAGGTTCTTCTAAACCATGTTCACAGTGTCAATTAAACTTAGTTTAAATCCAAATGCCATGCCTAAATATACTGTTTTTCCTCTTACTTTTGATTAATGGTTCCCTAAGCCTGCTCCAAGCTTGGAGGCAGCCCAGTCATGGCTGATATAAGGCTGTATGAATATGGGTAGATGAGAAGAGCAGATGGCTGTTCCGGATGCAGTAGCCTCTTTAGGCTAACTGCAGCACCCTAGGCCCTCGTCATCTGCCCATTATGTTCCGAATATCTTCTACACGTAGTCTTCCAAAAGCTACAAGAGAGCTTTTTCTCAGAGAAACACTGGATTAATGTGGAGGTTGATTTTTTTTCCCCCCCTCCCAGACTTGAAGGAAATAAATTGCAACTTTTCTATTGTCAGGAAAATGTATTTGTATTTGAAAACATATTTGAAATATATTCAGCGGTCTGGGAATCTGCAAGAGATTTATTTACCATGCTGCGTATGTTGTATAGGGCTTTGTCTATAAGTACTTTAGATATTTTTTTTTATCTTCAGGAAAAAGAAGAAGAAAGGGAAGCTGAGCTCCAGGAGAAGAAAGCAAGATCAGAGAAGATCTTTAAGGAATGGCTACATAATGCTAGGAATAAACCACGCCCTGTTTTCACTGGTTATGGCTTCCCACGTGGGAACTCCACAGGTTTGTATTTCTACTACACATATGTAGTAACTTAGGTTTGTGGTTCCTTCCCTCTAATCTTTTAATGTAAAATGAAGTCTGCTGAAGATTTTCATCCACTATCTAATTATGGCACGTGGAAATGAATATCTCATATGGTATAAGTCAGAGAAGCTTTTCCTCTGAGACCCTGTGTGCATTTTTTGTAGCCCTTCATGTTATTTGGGAGGAAAATGATATTATTTGAGAGAATAATGTGGCATACCAAATTGTAACCAATTTTGATCTCAATTTCTTTATCAGGCGTAGGAATCACTAGAGCCAGTTACTGGTTCCTGTGAAGCAGATCAGTTATGTCAGCATCCTTGTAAAGTTTGTGTTACAGAAGGCGTGTGCCACGTTATTGCACCTGAATACCCTGTAGAAAAGAGGTGATTTTCTGAGACGCAAAGGTTACTAAGAGGCTGGCAGAGTCCTGTCTGAAAAAGGAGACATGTTGTGAGCTAAGGCTTCCTTTCCATTTAGCTTTACACCTGCATTACACCTTCGTGGCTTCTGTAGTCCTGTATTTTGTTTTGAAGGAAAGCGTTAAAGAGAATGCTGTTGGCAGCGTGGTGTTTTGTGAGTCTCACTGTATTTTTGTGGTTTTTGTCATCCCAAATGGTACAAAAGCAGAAGAGCAGTAAGAAATAGTATTGCGTTTTACGTTTGAGTGCTTAATAAAATTTTTTTTAAAAATTTATAGATACTTTTGTCTTTATTTTTTCACAGAATTAAAATCATTGTTATTATTTGAATTCGCAACAGAAAATGTTTTAGGACCCAAATTCCAGGCTCTGAATGTTTAAGAAAATATATAAAGCAGGTGAACAACCTTTGCTCTTTTGCTTACATCTGTGCATAGGTGGTGACACACTTTGCCTTCATGTTTTGTTTTGGACCTTCATTACTTCCCCACAGCTGCAATCACTTGTTTTAAGTTATTTTTGAAAAATATTTTTCTACTCAGTTATGTTCATGCAATAGAATATATTACAGACTTTGTTTTACCCATCCACATGATGTATGCACTGAAATTTCACTACAGACAAATGACTGATAGGGCGACATGTTCTTTCTGTTGCGTTTTAGGTTTTCTGATATTGCTTTATGGGCCCTAAGTTATTAGTTGCAGGCAATTAATGTATAGGTCAATAATTAGTGTAACAGTTAAGCAAAGGTGGAAAAATATGTGAGCTTTGCATGTGTACTGACAGGAAGTTTTATGTGTAAATTCTTTGAAATAATGAAAGTAGCCAATTTGTAGACATTTACAGCTTTTAAGTATACAAAGGACTGAACATTCTGAATGTTACACAGCATTCAACCTGCTTATTATTTTAAATAGAGATGAAGAATATGCCAGTAATTTGTAAAAAAGAAAAAGGTGGAAGATTTCTTACTTTGAGTCATTTAAATTATGTGATGTGCCTATGCTGTCTTCCTCTGAAGGCGCTGTTGTGTCTTTGTTAGTCCAGATGTTTATTATAACTGCTTGCATTTAGTGTAGTCCTTTTTAGTGATGTGTGTTTTCTACATGTTTCAGGGTGTGCTGATGGAAATCTGTATCCAGCTCCAGCATATTGTAACCCCATTCCTTGGAAACCTGTGCATGTGCCTCCTCCACAGGGAGACAGTGTTCTTACCGTGCAGAAGAGTAAGAGACCTGTATCTTGTCAGTCACATACGTCTTCACCTGTGGTAATTTATAAGCCAAAGAACAATCTTTGTATTGGATCCTTGTGTAGAAAGCAGTCATAGTACACAAAACAAAACTATTCTTACGAGCTTGAGTGAACTGGGCTGTAAGTGTGAAGTTATCTGTAGTTATATGTCCAAAACAGGCTGCTTTTTTTTTTTAATTTTTTGTGAATAGGTTTTGTATTTACAGCTAACTGACCGAGCAGCTTTTTAGTATGTTTTTTTATATGTTGCATTTTAGTAAAAAAAAAAAAAAAAAAAAAAAGTTATATTTAGAAAATTGTAATGGGACTGTACCTGAATACCAATAAAACACACTGGATTGTTTCTTTCTTTCCTCCTCTTTTGTTGTTGAAGGAGTTCTTTTGTGTATGTGATTAGTCTTTTGAGCAACAGTATTGCTGGGTTATTGTAAATACGCTAATTATAACGGACTTTAAAACAATTCTTGACTTAATGCGAAAGGAATTCAAGGCCTGTGTGCAGTTGCAGGGCTGTGATATCATTGGGATCGCGGAGATGTAGCGGGATAGCTGACATCGCTGGACTGCTGCAGTGGATGGATACAGGCTCTTTAGGAAGCACAGGCTGGGTCAGTGAGGAGGGGAGAGAGCAGGAGGGATGCATTAAGTTTTGCCCAAGGACCGATGCTTAGCCAGCTGAGACCTAAGAAGTTAAGATTGAAAAGGGAGACCAAGGTGGGCAGTGTTGTGGTGGGCGTCTGCTACAGACTGCCTGATGAGAAAGAAGTGTGTGACATCTTTCAGGCAGTTGGAAGAAGCGTTATTCTTGCAGGCCCTGGTCTCATAGGGAGACTTGAACCACCCTGAACTCTGCTGGAAGGGCAACACGGCAAGGCGCGAGCAGTCAAGGGAGTTTCTGGACAGCATTGGTAACTTCCTGAACTTCCTACACACCTGGTAGAGGAGCTGACAAGAGGAGGCGCTTTGCTGGAGCTGATATGCACAAAAAAGGGAGAACTGGTCAGGGGCATGAAGGTTGGGGGCCGCTTTGCCTGCAATGACCATGGGATGGTGGAGGTCAGGATCCTGAGAGGAGGATTACAACCCTGAACTTCAGGAGAGCAGGTTTTGTCCTGTTCAGGGACTTGCTTGGAAAAATCCCATGGAATATGGTCATGGAGAGAAGAGGGGTCTAGGAGAGCTGGTGATTTTCAAGGATTGCTTTCTCCAAGCTCAAGTATGGTCCATCCCAATGAGCAGAAAGTCAAGCAGGAGTGGCAGAAAGCCTGCATAGATGAACAAGGAACCCCTGACTAAAATTAAATACAAAAAGGAAGCGTACAAGAATGGGCAGCAGGAACAGGTGACTTCGGTGGAATATAGAAACACTGTCTAAGTGTGCAGGGGTGAGATTAGGAAGGCAAAAACCTGTTTGGAGTTGAAACTAGCAAGGGTTGTGAAGGGCAACAAGAAGATCTTCTGTAGGTGTATCATCAACAAAAGAGAAGTTAGGAGAAATGTGGGTCCACTGCCACATGGAGCGGGGGCTTGGTGCCAATGGACACGGAAAAGGCCGAGATACTCAATGCCTTCTTAATGTCTTTTTTTTTTTCTTTCTGGTAATCTGCTGATTGACCTCAGCAATCACAGATCCCAGAGTCCAGTGGGAATATCTGGAGCAAGGAAGACAACCTTGGTGGAGGAGGATCAGTTTAGGGAAGATCTAAACAAACTGGACATACACTATAGGATCTGATAGGGTGCACTTGTGAATGCTGAGGGAGGTGGCAAATAGCATTGTAAGGGAACTCTCAATTATCTTTGAGAGGTTGTGGTGATCAGGGGAGGTTCCTGAGGACTGGAAGAAAGCAAACATCAATCCTATCTTCAAGCAAGGGCAAGAAGGTGGATCCAGAGAACCACAGCCCGTTCAGCCTCACCTCAGTCACCCAGAAAGGTGATGCATGCAGCAAAGGTTCTTTCTAGATAATGCCAAATGCTAGCGAGATTGCAACCTCTTACAGTAGTTAATGTTAATAGATTATTTGGTTTGTGTTTATCAGTAACTTATGATATGAATTAGTGTGAAGTCTCACATATTTAGACTTTCACAAAGTACTTCACGTTCACCTGGTGTTAAAGCAGTGCAAAGGACATTATGCAATCAAGTTTAATATTTCGTTTTACACTGTAAAGTCATGAACATAAAACTATCCTTTGTAAGAAAGAAAAATAAATATACTTTAAAGAGCAATGTATGAATCTTCTTTAACTCAATTCTATCACTTTATTATAGCAGTAGCTAAAAATAACTAAATTAGGGACAGCTGCGTACTACAGATTTCAATACAAGTGGAAGCCTATTAGTACTTGAAGATGTGTCATTTAAGCCGATAAAACAGACAAAAACTAGTATGAGTCTGTGAGTATATTCATCAGTTTATCACATACGGTGGGTGCACAAGCTGATCTGATGCATTTCACTTCCGTCAGTAAGAGATCTAGGCTCCATGGTGTCCCTCATGGATCTGTTCTCATTGCTTCTGCAACAGGGTGTAAATCAAGTGCCAAACATTTATGAATATGTAATATACAACATGGGTTATCATTATATTAGTTAATGAATGTCTGTTAAGAGTACCTGAGTTCTGCAGTCTAACGTTAGTCATAGGGCATACAGAGTAAAAACTGTTAGGTTTTAATGCTGTGTTTATTTTCCTATTTATTCCAACACGTAAATAAAGACACCTAACACAGATCTCATGAAAGACAATAAAAACTCCTAGCAAGGCCACTGCCATGACTTACTAGAATGTTCTCTTTAACGCTGTTTATAGGTTATTTCCATATTCTGATGTATGTAAAGCTTTTGGTTCACTGCAGATTGGGTTTTGTTGTAAAGGCAGAAAATAATTTAGTGGTTCATGCACTGTTCTCTCCTGTGTCTTTATTTGATATTGATTGTAGTATACCCACTTAGGAGAAGTCTGGACTCCATAAAATATGCAGTGTCAAGCTGTGTTTCTGTGAAGCAGGAGAACATGGGCTTCACAGAAGAAGTTTGGACATTATCTTCAGGATGTAGAACTCTGTGCCCAGCTTTTTCTGTAAGGACCTCCACGATGGATTGGTATGAATTAATGGATTAGTTGTTAATCTCTCCAGCTGACCTTGTCATGTGGAGATGTCTTATGAGAGTCGGAAGTTTGACAGTTGTGTAAGCTACCAGCAGCTCATTAGTGTTTAAATGAAGGGAGAACATTTTACTGTAATGTGTAAATAATTAATTTTGGATTAGCTTACAGAGGTTTCTTGGGACTCTGATTTAGTTGAAGAGCCATATGCTGTCATGTAAGTATTTTCTCTAATAGTTTTTCTGAAATAGCACATGGCTACCAGTAAGGTGTGTCAACGTAATTACCTGAGTCTATATTTACGACTTTGTTTTAGCATTTATGTGCTTGTAGTGACATAAAATGGCCTATCGTATGAAGATAGGCATTGATAGCATTGTATTAACAGAGTATGAAAGAATCTGTGATTCGGTTCTGCTGAAACACATCGTTGGCAAGATTTCTGTTGACTTGAGCAGTGGCAAATGGCAATTTAACAGGGGTTCCTATGCTAACCCAAATACATTTGTCCTTCAGGATTGCATGTCTACACCCAGAGTGAAGGGCTAAATAAATTCTAAATGTGTATTTTGTTCAGGAATGGGAATGTAGCAGTAGATGTCAAAGACTAGTAGTTTTCTTTCAGATGCCTCAGCCAGAATAATCAAACTGAGTACGTACTGGAACTGTCGTTTAGAGATTTTAGAAAATATTAATAAGTATCTAAAACCATTGTTCTTTTTTTCTCCCAACCAAAGATAGTGTCATTTTTCCTTGACCAAATTTTCTGTGGAATGGTTTATCCTGTCTTCAGAGTCAGAACAACGTTTCATTTGGAGACAGCCAGCTTTAAGTGGACTTACAACCCCTAAAATAGCAGCTTTAAGATGAGGCCCTTGCTGTAGCTGATCTATAGCATTGTAAATGTAGTTCTGTCCTAACTAAATTACAAATAAGGTTAAAGCAAGATAGCTTATGAGTGTACGTATTGGCTTCGATTCAATCAATATAACGTTTTTGCTGAGCAAAGAAGAGAAATATTGTTTGGATTTTTTCCAACTGGATGTCAACCGCACAATAAAATGGTCTGGCATTGTAGCATAATTTAAGATTGTATGCTACAGAAAGCTATAATTTCATGTTGTTGTGGCAAATAATTAATTTATACAATTTTTTCTCAGACGTTAGAAAGATAAAACCTCAACACTTTATTGTAGCTTAAGCAGCATTCTGTAATCTCTTAGTAAGTTCTCTCCTGGATTTCTCTGCTCATGAAATTTCACAGTAGATCAAGGTGCAGAATCTCGAATTACTTACTAGAAACAATCCAAGGTCTTGCATCTTCATGTCTATGCTGTTAAAATAATGAGACTCAACCTCATCTTATTTTCATCCCCTTGTTTTTTGCAGCAACTCTTGTGAGAATTCGTAGACCACTTCAAAATCCTGGCTGCTGCATCCTTCTAGGATTCACAACCTTTCCTCCTCTCTATCTGTCAGTCATAAATAGAGTGCCCCATTCAACCTGGCTATGAAGGATTACATCTCCTATGAGCTTTTATGGGTTTTGACAATTACTGTGTAGGTGCTCCGTAGAGTAGCATGGCTTTCCAGTAATTGACAGTGGATCGTCCCACAGATGTTTCAGGGTTGAAAGTCTACAAGCAGTAAAGTGGATCAAAAGAAGTCATAGAAGGGCATATGATGAGTAAGAGGTCACTATTATTGTAGGCAGCCTTCCATGCTTAGGAAGTAGTCTGGTTAATGTAGCATAATGCAACTTCACTGTTGGAAGTTTTGTTACTGGTCCTGGTGTGGAGCCAAGGCTTCATCTGAACCCAATAATTGCATCAGATTCTAATAATGTCCCTGCCAGTGTAATGTTTAATTGTAAAATTAATTTCTTCATCTATGATTTTGAAAACAAGATTGAAGATCAGTCAGTAATTCTGATATAATTTTCACTGGGAGATTTTTGTGAGTA